AGGAACCTGTCCACATTACAACCTCCTTGACGACGGAATGATTCAATCTTCTCATTAAAAAGTGACTATGTTGGTGCATAAGCACACTCATGTAATAATCTCACTATGCGTTCTCGAAATACATTGAAAAAACGATCACCACTTAATTTATCACGCAAGTTACCTTTCAAATGCTGCAAGCAAAATGCATGATGAGCATTTGAAAAGAAATTTGGCATTGCCTCTAACAGACCTAAGTTGCGATCAGATACAAACATAACAACCTGAGACTAATCCAATACATTAGACAACTGTTCTAAAAACCAAAACTAGTTTGCTTCATTCTCCGAGTCAACCACGACAAATGTCAAAGGAAACAAACCTGGAAAAATGAAGCACATACAATATTAGTGAAAAATTAAAACAAAAAAACAGTGTAACAGATGATATGGTAATTCCAAAATATTTTTGGGTGGTGAATGATAATAATTCACTATTTCAAATTAAACCATGTATGTATACTCACTATTAAATGTTCTCATATCATAGTGTAACAATATAACAAAAATAATGTAACAACGAAAGTGTAACAATATAACAAATAAAGTGTAACAAAGACAGTATAACATAAAGATTATAAATTAACCACAAAATTTATCATTCAAAAAATTGTATTAAAATATACCTTGGTTTTCATCTTTTCCTATAGCCGATAGAAGATTACCTCTATACCTGCCTTTCAAAAATGTGTCATCCAAAAAAAGTAGTGGACGATAATAATTAAACTCATGAATACAACCCTTAAAGGAAACAAAAAGCTTTTTGAAACGATTAGTCTCATGATCACAATCTAACACAATTTGCTACATCGACATACCAACGTAATTGTTGGTACGATACTGAATGGTCTCCAAAAAGTATATCTTTTGCTTTCTCAACGCCTTCTCATGCTTTATCATAAGAAATGGTGAGTCCATAATCAGAAAAAAAAAAAAAAAAAATCAACAACCACTTCTGTTGGACGTGTTGTCCTATGCCCATGAACACGATCAACAATCAGATTTGCAACCAATTTAGAACTCATTCGCTTGTTATCTGTCGTTCGTACATCCACACCACAAATGTGTTTGTTGTCCAATTTTCTAATATAAAAAAAACCAGTAGCTCTTTTCACAGTTGCATTTATATGCCACCCACAACCCTTAAAATACTTAAATGAACATTCAGTAATAACCATTGCTTTACAATTCTTTACATAATTAAATTCAAAATCACACTCAATCGAGTATTTGCAAAGTGTTTGTCAAAACTGTACTACACCACCTTCAAATTTTTGTCCTACTCGTTGTATTTCATTACTCTACCCAGCTGTTTGAAGAACTTTCTCATTATGACCAATAAAACTGGGTATTAAATCAATTTTACATTCAACAACATCACCAATATTCACATACTGCAACGAATCATCATCACCCACCGACCCACCCTCGATATCTTCCACAAACACATTAACTTGAACGTAATTCCTTGGCAAACAACGTTTCAATTCAACCAAATTCTTCAAATCCGCATCGGTTCGTAACATGCAGGAGGGGTGACCAAGAATTAAATATGACATATGTACTGACAAGTTAAACAACTCCTCACACGTCTCGCAAACTTCGCGAACAAGCTCCGATATATTTGAATTACCGCGTACTTTGAACACTTTAGTATCATTACCATATGTACATAACAGCAACACCGTTTTCTCTATTGCCAACAAAATCTCAAACTAGTAAAAAAATATATACAATAAAAAGTCAAATTAAAAACATATATCAAAACAAATAAAAACTGAAAAAATTATACATATTAATTTATTATGTTAATAGGTTAAATGTAACATACCTTGTAATTCCTATTATGATACTGTCAGGCTAAATGTTTCAGTATTCGGTTGGAACAAAATCTCAAACACATATGTTTGTTTGTTTTGTTATATCTTCCACAAACACATTTGTCATGTGGATGAAGAACAATATGGGCTTGCAAATGGAAGTAGAAGAAGATAAAAATTAAAAGCTTGAAGAATAAAATCAACTTGCAGGTGATGAAGAAAATCAACTTCAGTCTTGAAGTGTGTATTTCTCGACTTCCCCCTTACATATATACCAATGTCATGTCGATGTCGATGAAGACCAATATCAGATTGCAGCTGGATGGAGAAGAAGCATAACTCACCTCAAGGCTTGAAGAAGCAGCAAAATCGTCTTTCAGGTGATGAAGGAAACTCGTTTTCAGTCAATAATAATACCAGAAATATACCCAGCTTCATGAAGAAAAATACAACCGTATATTTCCCTCTTAAAAAACTAAAAATAATAGTGTATTTAAAATTTGAAATTTTATTGGAAAGTGTTGTATTTCTCTCTCATAAAACTAAGACTTATTTAATACACAAATATAATTTGAAAACTAACCCTTTTCAATAAAAAATACGCATTCACCAATGGAGGGCAAAAATGTCACAATAAAAATAGATAAATTTAAATTATGTATTTGGATATAAATAAGTATCAAAATTAAGTACTTAATAACCATATATTTTTTAGTGTGTATTTTTTGCCAAATAAGTCTAATTTGGTGTACTCCCTTACAATTTATCCCAAAAAAAAATTGGTCTGAAAACTTGGGCTGAAAAAAAATTTGGGCTCATGTTTAATTGAAGAAAAACTGGTCTAAAAATTTGGGCTGAAAATTATTTAGTGGCCTAATCCTAAGGCTGGCCGGGGTGGTGCCAGTGGTGGTTGGTTGGCAATAACAGTGGTGATGGCTATAGAGGTGGTGAAGTTTTTTGTAGATAAGTAATTTTAAAAAAGTAGAAGTTATTTTTTTTATTTTTATTAACTTATTTAAGTGGTAAAGTTTTTTTTTTGACTTGAAAGTAATTAAAATAAGTTGTTCTAATCACTATCTTTTTTTTTTAAAATGCTTATTAGAAGTCATAAGTTTTTGAAGTATTTTTAAAAAATCACCCCAAACGTGTCATAAAAATTTATTTATTTTATTAAATTTAAGGAATTAATATTAATTATCGAATTAATTTTAAAATAAAATTTATAATGATGTGAATTGCGAAAAAAAAAATTATATTATACTTTATTATATAAATACAAATTCCTTTGAATTTATTTCTTCCACCTGTTACAAACTTTTTTTTTTTTTTTTGGGGGGGCCGCTCAACCCAATCCGATAATCACCACTCACTTTATGTGTCGCCGATGATTGCTGCACAAGAAACAATCAAAACCGTGAGCTTTCACCTGCATTTACTAATTTACCCCTCACTCTTCCATCACACAGAATATTCCAACTCTTGCATCACATTTCTGGTACTATTTCCCCCCTTTGTTTTTTGTTGGTCATGAAATTAACTTGTATATTAATACTCCAACACGTTGTTACAGAATATATTTGTCAAACTATACCATTCATTCCCTCCTTCCTAAGTACATTCATAAGAAAATCTGGGGGTTTACTAACTCTAAGGGAGGAAAATTCCTCTTCTAGCTTGAACTACTAGTATATGCTAATTGTATATGAATTTCTTTTATAATACTGAGTTTTAATGTGATTCAAAAAAGTATTCCTAACCATTCACACTCATAAATCGATCAAATTAAATTAAAACTCGTATTTCCCCCCTTAAACTTGGGTATCTAAGTGAGATAAAGGCTAATTCAGTACTATATTGAAATTTATTCTCAATCATTATTGATTTTGAGATGAACGATTTGTAATTAATAATTTTAAAAATAATAAATTTATAGAATTTTTTTATATATTATGTAATTGAATAAAAAAAGAAAGTATAGTACAAAAATATGATATTTTAGTATCGTAATTACTTTGAAAAAAAAGAAGAATAAAGTATTGTAACATGACAAAATATTCAGTGTTTTTAGGGCACCATGTGACACTACTTTGTGGTGCTCATATCCAATGAAAAATTGTCATAATACTGCCTTTGCGACACATTTTTTAAAAAAAAAAAAAATCCTATTACCTTTATAAGTGACAATAATTGATTGGGAATGTATACTATTTTATGAATAATGTATATGACAAGGAACGGCACTATTATGTGGTACTTGATGAGCATTCAATATTTTGCCGCCGTCTATTAGAAATTGAAACAAATGCAAGAAAAATAAAATTTTTAACATTTTCATATATTTGGTTAGCATAATATGAAAAATAAATATTTTTTTGAACAAGAAATGAAAAATGATAGAAAAACATGATTTTCTTCTATACTTAGATTTTTCACAACTAACTAAATTTTTTTTTCTTGCAAAAAACATAAGGAAAAACAAGTAAATTGTGATCTATAATCTAATTCTATTTTATCCTTATTTTTCTTAAAATATTTAATAAGTTATTATTTTGAAAAAAATTTATATGAGTCAGGGCCATATAATTTCACCCATAGATCTGGGATCAGGTCGATCTTTGTCCTAAAATTAAGTTAGGATCTCATTTTTTTTTTAAATTTTATTATAATACATATTTTTTTGTTGACACCAATTTAATATAATTAAGAATAATTCAAACAATTAAAAACATTATCATAACTTTTATGTCTTTCAAACAATAAAATAAAAATTTATAAATCTTTTTTACAAGCTTTTCATATTAACAAAATACATGTATTTTATATTCTCTTGTTTCACTTTTTTTTTGGGTCAGACTCTTGTTTCACTTTTTTTTTTGGTCAGACTCTTGTTTCACTTTTCATTATTATTTTCTTCCGCCAAAATGTCCCATAAAGTCTTGCAGGAGAGGGAAAAATCACTGGGCCAGGACTTAAAAAAGAATATTCCATGAGCAAGAAGACCGAGGGTAATTAAGACATTTCAACTGTAACAGTGTGATCCGCAAATAGTAGTCTGGATAAATCTTCATTCACCAAAAGCAAAACATATCGAACCACAAAAACGCTTCAAGTGGTGTGCAGTACTCGTTGATCATCGTCGGAAATGGGCAGAAAATTTTTCGTCGGCGGCAACTGGAAATGCGTAAGTCTTTGATTCAAATTAATTTGCCTCAATAATTTCTGATCATCTGATCCGTTTAGATCTGGTCATTGAAATTCTCTCTTTCTTGAGATTTCAAAAATCACTCACACACCTATATTTACGTCTGTCGTTCTGATGCTCATCGTTCGGACCATTGTTGTTATTTTCTCTGTCGCTGTTATACTATTTTCTAATTAACCGAACTGACCATTGTTGTTTGTTTAGATGGATCTAGATAATTGCTGAGGTGCATAACAGTTCGAGAATCAATTAATTGGTGTAATTAATTACTTTTGAGTCAATTCAATTGAAATAATGTGTATATTTAGCTGCTATGTTGTGTGAAATCGTATCTGTGAGTACCCTGTCAGTATCGAGATTGATTCATGGACTTGTATAAACGTGTGAGGTATGTCTACAAGGTGTAGTCTAGTTTATAGCTTAACTGGAAAGCTTTTATGCAGAATGGAACCTCGGAAGAGGTGAAGAAGATCGTGTCGACACTCAATGCTGGTGAAGTGCCATCTCAGGATGTTGTGGGTAAGGAAATCCAAGTTAGTTTTGATCTGATTTAGTTTTTTTCATTAACATATGAAGCTTGTTGCTTTCGAGTTGTTCTCGGGGGAGGTGACTCTTGTTGTTCTTTCCTAGGGTACGTCCTAAGGGAGACGACAGACAAAGCGTATTAGTTGATTGAGCATTGCTTGAGATCGCTGTTCCAGTCAATCAAGTTGTAAAAAAAAGAATCATAATCTGTAATTTATGAGTTTTTTTTTTTTATACCCCCGTGTCATAATAGATCCGAACACTTGGCTAGGATCGACTTCTAGATCATAATTGCTCTAGTGAATAACTAAATGAAATAGATAGATGGGAAATAATAAAAGAGAAACATTATAGAAATATCTCTCGGAGGTTCACTAATTATTTGACTAATGTTGTCTCCCACACCATTTGCGTAAAGACGTTTTCCATTTTTCAAAAAAGGCATTTTTGGCTAAGGTATACATCACAATTTGACGTTTATGTTACGTGTTCGACAACTTTGTTTTATGTTCTTTTATGAGATTAGCTCTACTTATGTGTCTTGTGCTGAATCTATCTGAACCTGCCCGGAAAAATTATTGGCCAGCAGAAGAATGCAATACTGACATTTTAAAATTTGAAATTATAAACTTACCATAAATAATGTGAATAATATTTGCCTTCTGCAGTCCTTTTGCACTGCTTACAAGCTTTGGAGGCTAAATAAGGAGTACGGATATAACTCTTGTGTTTGCTTACATTGATTTCTCTATAATTAATTTCCGTGGACAACATGTGGTTTGCTTTGCATGAAGTGCTATTGGAGTTCCTTTCTTCCTTATTTGCAAAAACGAATATCCATTCATACGGATGAAATCACCGGATTGTTTATGTTTTGACCGCTTCTTGTCCTTATTGCAGTTTTTCTCTTGCTTTCCTATGGCAGTGAACTTTGTTCTTTTGAATCAAATCTTCATGTCGCTTATATTTTGACTTCTTCTCTTGCAGAGGTCGTGGTGAGCCCTCCATTCGTGTTTCTTCAACTGGTGAAAAGTTTGTTGAGGCCTGATTTTCATGTTGCGGCCCAAAATTGCTGGGTAAAGAAAGGTGGTGCTTTTACTGGTGAGGTTAGGTATGTTTTGATACCCATTTCAGTCCTGTACCTATCTCCTGAGGTTTAAAAATTTCCACCGCCAAAAATGTACATTAATATCTTCTGCATGTGCAGTGCTGAGATGCTCGTTAATCTGGGCATTCCTTGGGTCATTCTTGGCCATTCTGAAAGGAGGCTTATTTTAGGGGAATCAAATGAGGTAATCTTTGTTTCATGGCACCGTAGCTATTTCTTTATGATGCCAATTGGAACACTGATCATGCTTCACAGCCGTTGATCCTGTCTTCATTAATTTGGTAACTAGCTAAATGCTTGCATTTCAGTTTGTTGGAGATAAAGTTGCATATGCTCTTGCTCAAGGTTTGAAGGTAATAGCTTGTGTTGGTGAGACTCTTGAGCAGAGAGAATCAGGATCGACTATGGATGTTGTTGCCGCACAAACTAAGGCAATCGCAGGTACATATTCCAGTAGTGTATGCAACACAACTATTGCACTCAACTATGTTCTTGTGGTTGGCTTTACTCTTCACTCAAATGATTAGTCTTTGTTTTTTCACACCATCATTGAGTTTGTTTTCTTCTGGATATACTTGGTGGCAACTTATTGCTTGTGTTACTAGATTTTTCAGGTAAATAACTTTTGTTAGTGACTAAAGAATATGGCTGTCATGTAGGGGTTAAAATTTGTTTCATTCATTTTATTGGATATGCTGAGTAGCTTATTTTACTGGATTTTTTTTGTTTAACAAGATTACTGAAAGCTTATTTTAGTCCATGCTACAAGTGAAGCTGTCAACCTGCTTTAATAATGTTTTCATTTTTACATGTTGCAGAAAGAGTATCAGATTGGTCTAATGTGGTTTTGGCCTATGAGCCTGTTTGGGCTATTGGAACTGGGAAAGTTGCAACTCCCGCTCAGGCTCAGGAAGTAAGTGGCCACTTCATTGTCTTGATCTGGATTAATGATGTTTAAGGCTAGTTATAGACTATATTATGTTAGTGTATTATATTATATTTAGACTAAGGGTAGTTTAGTGATTTACTTTATTCTGTTTTACCCTACTATATAAGGGTCTTTATTGTGTAGCTTTGGATTTTTGGTTTTGCGGACTAATGTTACAATAATACATTTTCTCTTTTCTTTCCTTTTCTTGAATCAAAGTTTGGGTAGTTTGGGTAAATTTTGAGCATCATGACATTTTTGGTTGTGGTGGATGCAAGTTAGTGTCTTTATAAGATCAAAACCAGCTTGGGAGTTAGTGTCTTTACCCCCTAGCAAACACACCATTGGTTTTAAGTGAGTTTATAAGATCAAAACCAAATCTGATGGATCTGTGGAACTTTACAAAGTTCAGTTAGTAGCCAAGGATTTGCTCTGGAGTATGGGCTGGTGACTCTATGAATTGTAAGTCCACCACTGGTTTCTGTATTTTCCTTGTGATTCTCTTATTTCTCGGAAAAGCAAAAAACAGAATGTCGTTGTTAGTTTATCAGCTGAAGCTGAGTACCGTGTTGAGATAGTCTCGTTACGATAGCTACTTGTTGATCTTTGCATTTCACTGTCTGCTCCTACCCTTATGTATTGTGACAACACCAGGGCTATTCAGATTGCTCACAAGTCGGTCTTCTATGAGCATACAAAGCATATTGAGATTGATTGTCTCTTTGTACGCCATCATCTGGGCACCATTACCCTACCCTTTATTCCTTCCACTATGCCGTTACCGGTTTTCTTTACGAAATCTCACACCATCGCACGTTTTTGTTTTCTTATTGACAAACTCTTGATGTTTTTTGCCACATCATGAGTTTGAGAGGGGATGTTAGAGTATTATAGTATATTTAGACTAAGGGTAGTTTAGTGATTTATTTTATTTTGTTTTATCTTACTATATAAGGGTCTTTATTGTATAGCTTTGGTTTTTTGGTTTTGCAGACTAAAGTTACAATAATACAATTTCTCTCTTTTCTTCGTATTCTTGAATCAAAGTTTACACATTATAGCTCCAAATATCTTATATTTTGTTCTCTTCTAAATTGGTAGAGACCTTATAAGGGATGATTTTTAGCAATTTTTTGTGCGCATTGAAATTAAGTGTAACCTGTGTTTTATGTAGCTTGACTTGCTACTAGGGTGAAAGCCTGATAGGATAAAGTTTGGTGCTTGCAAGAATCCGGCCTAAATTGGATTTTTTAATGCAGAAGTGGTTATATGTTCTAAAATTTCCACAACAATTATTAATGCAGAATGAGAATGAGAATGAGACCAGTGACATCCAATACAAAAGGACTTAGAGTCTAAAAGTGCTATGTTTTCAATTTCAATCTGCTATATGTCTGGTGGTGTCAGATTTTGTAGTTACTAAAACTTGAAGATGGATAGGAAAATATGTTTTAATTTTGGAGCAATTCGAGGCTCTTTGAATTGGCTTCTAGTCTGCCAGCTGATACTGGACCCGGCAACAGTGCTGCTATTCTCTATGCTCTACAGTGACAGTGGGACGAGGAAAAAGGGCTGCATTGATGGACCAGATTGAGCTATATGGTCCAGAGTTAGCCTGTCTCTAATAGTAACATTGTTGAAGCTAGGGAAGGTTGGTGAGAGCGCGCAGACAGAAGCCTTCATGGGCCTGAAAACTATATGTGAAGATTATGATTTAGGTCTATGAGTTACTTAATCATCTATTTATTCATTTTGGTTGAACAATTGTGTGAATGATATTTTTTTGAAGCATAAAATGATTGGTGCCTACCCGCTGAGAAAAATATATGCATCGAGTTCTCTGGGATGTGCCTTATGGAGGAAGAGGATTTGTATGTTACAGTTAGGATTTTGATGTATTCCTTGAATTAAATCTTTTGTTCATCATGGAGGCTATTCAAGTTGCTTGTCTCCAAAATAATTAGAAAGATTGGCTGTCTGAACTCTAAAGATTTTTTCCACAATCTGATCTAGCGTAAAGTACTTATTGGCTAATAAATGGCAGCGCCTCCCCCACTCCACCCAAAGCTCACAATTGTTGCGGTTCATGCTTTGGAATGCTCATTGACTCCCATATCATTCAGTTACCCTATTTTGTGATCTATCCCCTTTGTGTGTGTGAGTTCTCTTATTGTACCATTGTAACTACCCTCTTTTATGGTCCATCTCCCTCCCATTAGTTGTGTGGAGTTTTGTCACCATTGTAAAGGTGGGCCTACCACTTACATCTCCTAGATCCCACTATAAGTGGAAGTCTGGTGCATTAAGTATGGCCTTTTAGTTCTATGGTTGTACCATTGGAACTAATTTTTAGTACTTATGGGGAAGAGATGCTGTAGCATCAACTTGCTGCAAGTTTTCCAGGATCCAATCTTTTTTCATGAAGTATCTTCTTCATCGCAGGTACATTCTGAATTAAGGAAATGGCTTCAAGTGAACACCAGCCCTGAAGTTGCTGCTACAATCAGGATTATCTATGGAGGTATTTTTTCTCTATCCCCCGAGATACTGCTGTTCTAGTCTTTTGAATTTTTTGAATTTGAGCTCCTTTTTGCCAAAAGAATAGTGTTCCAATATGAGCCTTAAATGGCTTCTTAGTGTTTAAGAATTATAGAACAAGAATATTCTGTCACCATGATGTCTTGTGTAGCTTGCATTCAATAGCTATATGTTTTACCAGTTTTTCTCTGCCATTGTATGTCATTGTCACCACCACTGACACTGTAGGATATATAGATGTATTTAGTTTTATCCTTATTAATGGGTTTTTCAAACAAGGAACCAGTCACATGCCTCCATTTATGAAGTCATACAAAATGGTAACAGAAAACAAATGACATTTGTCATTTTTCTTTGCATTCAGGTGCCCTAGATTTCTTCAAAATTCAACATTATGTTTGAGAATACTTAGACCACTCCAATGGTGACCCATATCCTTAAATTTGAGTAAAAAAAAGAGTAAAAAGTTTGATTTGGTATATATCTCTCCAATGGAGAAACTCAAATATAAAGGAAGAGAAACCCGAATTTAAATGTGGACAAACCCAAATTTAAAAGAGGATAAAATATGTCCATTAGATTTTTAAATGAGGGTACAATCTCACTATTAAAGATTTGGGTATGGATTTGAGTAACAAAAAAGAGCCTCCATTGATTTGATATGGGCATGGGTCTAGCATTGAAAAAAAATTTTAGGAGTTTTTTTACCCAAATTTAAATTTGGGTTTAAAAAAGGGTTAGGATTGAAGATGCCCTTAGGTGGAGGTTTGCAGGATAGCAGGAGATTAAGAATAAATTGCCAAAGTGAACCTGGGGTTTTGGCCTAGAGTGTAAAAATGCAGGATGCCTTGGTTTGACTTGTTTTTTAATGCATATGAATCATGACATAATGCTTTTGTTTTTAGAATGAACCTTATTTTATCAAAATTGTGGTTCTAACACCATAAATCAAATAATAATTGAAATATAAAATTACCCTTTCCCCTTTGCATTTTCTTCCATTGCTCTAAATGCATAACTGTTGCAGGTTCTGTAAGTGGTGCCAACTGCAAGGAATTGGCTGCAAAACCTGATGTCGATGGTTTTCTGGTTGGTGGAGCTTCTCTCAAGGTAATACCATGGTCTCTTTATTTTTCTTCTTCTTGGATTGTCGTCTTGTTCTTACTCTCTTTTCTTTTCCTCTCTCTAGCCTGAATTCATTGACATTATCAAGTCTGCTGAGGTGAAGAAAAATGCCTAGGTTTTGTACCAATCTCGGGTAGGTGAAACTTTGAGGTTTTTGCCAGGGTAGAATGTAATTTCCATTTCATACATAAGCTATACCGTGGACTTAATTTTTACACTGTACTCTTGGCCACACTTCTAATTGGCTTTCTTGTGTGAATAAATCTGGCACATTGTTCTCCAATGTACTGCCATCGACATATTTTTCTTATTGGGAGCTTGAAATGTGTCTTTGTAGGCATGGATTTTGGTTGAATTCATATGACTTGTGAGAGGAAAAATCATTGATGTGAGGTAGGTCTTGGTGCGTCATTGGCGTTACGGGTCGAGTTATAGAAATAGCTTTTCATATGGAAAGTGAGATTGCAATCTGTGAGATTGCAATCTGTCTTTTTTCCGCTCAGGTGTTTGTTTTTCCAAGCGCCACTTCAGTTGTTGAATGTGTTTGAAGAGGCGAATGCTGTGTAATGTACGGCGTGCAGAAGGTTATGAACTACTCTTGTTACTGAACCACTGCCAACGAATAGCGGCTAACAATCTGGGCTATGTTGAGCTTGGTGGATTGGCAAAACACATACCACATCATTCAGTAGCTGGGCCTTTCTTCATAAACTTCCCCCAAACGGAACCGCCTATGAATTTGATGAATTTTAGTGCTACTTCGGTGGAAGTATGTATGGCGCAAACTCAAGAAAGAGAGCACAAGTCGTTTGGCTACATTACTTATAGTTAACTTTCCTGTCTGGTGATAGATCTATTATTGCACTGGCATTACTTTCCCTCCGGTAACACCCCGGTTCCCCATGCATGTCACTTATAACACCCCGCATTACACGAGCGTCTGATCTGATAGTTCTGATACAACTCTCACACCACTCACAAACATCTTCTGACCACGATTGATCGTGCCCAGTTCCCATGACCTGCTCTCACGACCTCAGTCGTCAAACCTCTGGTCGACTTGGGGGGGAGTAACCGTGGTTCTCCAGTTTCGGTCCTTTTGTCATTGATTCCTTGGCAGATTGAGGCTCCTATCATCATATGGTCAAGTCAAGGTTGAGTCGTCATGACTGGTTGTTCCCTCCTATACCATTTTCAATGGACAAAAAAGATTGATGAGTTGCAGGGGTCTAGTCAAGCTTTGCTTTTGCACAATTTTTATGGATTTAGATTCCATCCATTATCCCTTCCCTTCAATATAGTTTGACATGTGTAAGATTTTAAATTTTAATAAATAAGATATTTCATCATTCATTTTGTTGTTGTTAGAGTGTTAATCATTATTAAAGAATTTTTTTACAAGGAAAAATTATTGTCTATTAAAATTCTAAATCTTGCACATGTCACTCATCTAGTACTGTATTGAGAGGAATTGTAGAGAAAGAATAATTGAGGAAATCTGAATCCGCATCAATACACTTAAATTGTCCTAGATTGGCTCGAACTTTAAAGTGTGAAGCCTAATAGACTAATATAGATATGACTTGTGCGATCAAGATTTGTTGTCTTTCTTAATTGTGCAATTCTAATCGAGCAATTGGGATCAACCAATCTTTAGAATAATTAGTTTGGCTCAACACAGTTTCAAAATGAACCCCGCATGTTATGGTTTGCCCGAACCATGGGACCTCATTAAAGTCCTGTGGGATTCACTAGACGAGGATGAAAACCGAAAAATAGAGGACAATCATACCAAAGAGGATACTATTATATCTAGCTAGGGCAAATGCTTCGCTCTCTAGGAAGCTTCCCTATCTTAGAAAAGGGATCAGGAAAGATTATAGTACTACATGTAACTAAGGGTAAATGCTTCACTCTCTAGGAAGCTTCCCCATCTTAGAGAAGGAATCAGGATACAGACGGACTCTCTTTTCCTACAACTTATACTAGGAGTGTTAGAAGGGAGAATGAAGGGAAAATTTAAATCATATATGTAGTAAAATTATGTGTCAAATAATTATTTTTTATTTTAATTATTTTTGAATCTAATTATTGATCTATTTTTTCCCTCTTCAATTTCTAATATATTATTTGTTTAATTATCTCCTCAATTCATTAGTCATTCTCTTTTTGTTTACGATGAAACTTCATTGTAAGATTGTCATTATTAAGTATTTGTACATATAATAAAAATATAAATTTAACTTTATTTGTTCATATAAAGATAGATCTAGATATAAAAAATTGTATCTAAGTGTACTATAAATAAATGAGTCTAAAAGGGTTAAAAAGTTAAATACTATTAATAAAAAAATCCAAAAAAATTTAAAAGTTTAATAAGTATGGGAAATAAAAATTAGATGAAAATAATATGTAAATATCATTAATTTTATAATAATTAAAGATAAATAAAAATTTAACAAATTTTGATATATTTGGCAAATAAAAATGCTTGGCCACGCAGCGTCAAGTAGGAGTTGGAACAATAAGAGTCAAGTTCTAGAACCAAACAAAAAGGTAGAAAAGCATTAAAAGTCTTTGTTTTAATTTTCAAAGTCTTGCTAGATTTGGATAGAAAAGTCACATTGTCACGAATCTTTCGTTGTCTAGTTTGGCACTTTGGACAATTAATTCCACCCCATGGCCAAAGCATGTTGGACACCTTATTAACCAATCGAATTTCGATTTGAGTACTATTTGAAGCTTAAAATTCGATGAATTTTATTTTCATGATTTATATTTAAATTTTTTTAAAATAAAACTAGACTTGAATATGCAATACAAATTGAATTGTTGGAGTTGATGGGACGAGATTAGACTACGTATTCTAACCCAACCTATATTGTTTTTTTAAGTTACTTCGATTTAAAATAGTTTAATCTAATCATGTGTTTAGTTAAACACTGGATTAAATGGTTAGAATCCTAGATCCAATTCACTCTCTTGTTTATTGATCTCAGAGTAATGTTAGATGAACTTAAAGATTAGATTTGATAATTTTAATCATTAAATAGGTAGTGAATTCCAATAAATGCAGGGATCTACAATTAAATCAATGATAATAATTAATCAAGTTAATATTTTAATTTTAAATAATATTATTCATTTTTTATTCCCCCTCCTCCGCCAATGAGAGAGACTTGTCTTACCTACATTTTTCATCAATGCTATTGTGGAAGCTTCGATTTGAATATTGGGGCTAATCTTTTGTGACGGAGGATTCACCATTTAAAACAAGCGATTTCTTAAACCTATTTCATCCTCCTAAATATCTAATATAACAATTATATTACGTCAATAATTTCAGGTTAGGAGTTTCTCTGGGATTTGTTAGAGAGACTATATTGAATATTACATTTAATTTTAAATAAAATTATTTTGACCTAATTTATTGATATATACTGACTTAAATCATTACAACCACTGGATTAACTGTGAGTTCTATTAAACATTAAAATTTGATGTTAATTCAATAGTGTCAATGAAACATATATCATTAGATTAACAAATTATGTTAAATTTTTAAATCTAAATAACATGCCTGTCAAAAGTTTTTTTAGTTCCACTTCTCACATTAATACTCAATTTTTAGTCCAAGCAGTTAGAGGTTTTTGGTCCGATCAAGGTGTCTTAAGTATTAGGTTTTGGTCCTTAAAGTATGTACGCTTTGTTAATTTGATCCGTATAGTATTAATTTTGCTTCTAAAATATTTAATTCGTATTTAAAAAATTATTACATAAACAGACTGTTAAGTGTTTGATAGAATGATCACGTATTGGTCACGTGCTAGCATCTAAAAAAATTACACGTTGTCAGTTCTATAAAAAAAAAAAAACTTAATGGATGGTATAATTAGGGTTAAAGTAACACAAATTAAAATTTTAAGGACTAAATTAATACAATAAAAAAATTAACAAAATAGACATATTTTAAGAGCCTAAAATATTATTAACCCTAACTATTTGTTTTTTTCTTTTTCTTTTATTTTATTTTACTGAGAGGAAGCCAGAAATTAGTAACCATGCGCTTAGGAGCTTTGAACTACAATCATAATGAAGCCATTACTAACGTGGCCCAAAATGGCTCAATCAATGCAGCTCTGTCTGCTGTATGTGAGAGAGTTGAACAATATGTCCTACGACAAGTATAAGACTAGCTGGACATCTCCCGCCATCTGGAATAGTCTTCTCTCTCCCTCTCTCTCTCTCTCTCTCTCTCTCTGTGTATATTCCCCTATATATATACGGGTGACGATAATCTAGGGAGATAGTCAACCGTTGTGTCCTTAAAGAGTTATGGGGAAGCCAACCAAACACACGTAAAATATCAATAAACCATATGTGAACAGTTGGGCATGTGTTCACACCTTTGTGCTTGATCTGATTTGGGTGTCTTCTGGACCAAAAATCATAGAAGGAAAATTTTCTATTTTTGGGTTCGAAGGAAGTCATTCTTTCTCGAGCTCTCCCGGGAAGAAGAAAACAAGATCAGAGCTTGGTGGGTCCATTAATGGGGTCTTGTTTCAGTGTTCGAATCAAAGCCGAGAGTCCTATTCACGCTGGTGTGTGTATGAATCTCTAGGAAAGCTTATATTATGTTGATTGTGCACTTCTGATATATAAAACCATGTAATCTAGCTTAAAACACATATGGTGATTTGTGAAAAACTGTTATGGAGTATACATAACTTCTCTCTCTCTCTCTCTCTAGGTAAACAGTGAATGTTTTAGCTTTGCAAGTCCAGTTGATTTGTGTGCTCCACTGTATTGAATTAGCTGAGATTGGGGAAAACCCTTATATATTGGATACCTCTATCTCTATGTTTGTACAAATCCAGCACATTTGGTGTACTAGGATTAGGCGTTTAATTGTTTGCCCAATAATTAGTTTACCTACACCAACGATCTGGTGTTTATCTTAATTTCACTGTTAAGCTGCATTGAATAATAGAGCCAATTCAAATCTCCTTTGTGGCTATGTTTTTCTTCAGAAATCAAGTGGAGTTTATAATAATCAAGAGGGGAAGTTGTTTTAATAGTAAATTTGCATAGTGGATTGCATCTCATTGTTCTTATTACAAATTCAAGGATCTATCTCACAAACTGAGTTTTTCTGTTTTTAACAATGGATTGGATTTCTTAGGGTGCAATCCAATGTTCCATGAAATTTTGTTTATCTGTATATGCTTGGAGTTTCATAGACAAAGCAATTCAAATCAATTTGATTTAGTTATCCATAGTGCCAAATAGGATCTTTGTGCTAAGAATTATGTAGCTGCCCGAGCAATGTACTGTCGTGGATCCAACTTTTAGGACTGTCTACAGCAGCCCTCTCTAAACAGCCAATACTCTGATGTATCCCATGAACTGGATTGCTTTATTCTGTATGATGGTTATTGATTACTTTTTTTTTCAAAAAAAAGCATGATCCAATTTAGCCTCTATTAAGAAGGGGGTTTGGAGGGATAGATTTGTTATTTGACTATTTGAAATTTGAGTTTATAACTTGAAATTTGTTTTTTTGGCAAAGTGACCTACACTGGTAAAGAAATTGACCGGAACCAAAATATGGCTGTGATGACTATACAGGGCTTAACTCAAAACATGTCAGCAGAGATGGACAAGATACGAGTAGCAGGATTTCATCTCCCTCTATGCCACTGACCCCTCGGGGAGAGGGTGAAATATTGGAATCGTCAAATTTGAAGAGCTTTGGCTTTAATGAACTCAAAGTAGCCACCAGGAACTTCCGTCCAGATAGTGTGCTGGGAGAAGGTGGTTTTGGCTGTGTCTTTAAGGGTTGGATTGACGAGCATACATTTAAAGCTGCAAGGCCTGGTATTGGCATGGTTATTGCAGTGAAGAGACTAAAGCAAGAAGCTCTCCAAGGTCACAAGGAATGGTTGGTAAGTATGACTTTTCCCTACTACAGTAGGATCATGTTTTCTATTTGGTACTATAGAGTGAGGCATGGCAAAACTTGGAAAAATACAACCATGTATACTAGTATTAATTAGTTTAGATGGAGGGAGTGATATTTTTAGTTTAGATGAACCTAGCCAACCATTTATACTAGTATTAATGAACTATTTCTAATATTGGTAGTTATTGTAGCTTGATGGCATTGCAATCAATACTTCTAAACAAGCTGATTCATTAATTTGTGTTGCAGACAGAAATTAATTATCTGGGGCAGTTATATCATCCTAATCTTGTGAAATTGATTGGGTACTGCCTAGAGGATGAACACCGAATGCTGGTATATGAATTCATGCCCAAGGGCAGCCTGGAAAATCATCTATTCAGAAGTGAGTTATTGATGTCCTTAAAGTTCTTAGCTTGGCTTCCCATTTGTTCGTATCCTAAAGGAGGAAAACTATCTATGCATCCATTTTTTGTTGCGTGATTTATAATCCAACCAAATATTCTGCTACAGGGAGTTCTTACTTCCAACCACTCTCTTGGAGTCTCCGTATGAAGGTTGCTCTTGGGGCTGCAAAGGGTCTTGCATATCTTCACAGTCCGGAAGCAAAAGTGATATATCGTGATTTCAAATCATCCAATATTCTGCTTGATTCTGTATGTGGAACATTTCAATATGCTATATTTTTGTCGGTCAATTTTGCAAAATTTATGGCTTCCAGAAGCTTGAAAATTTATTTCCGAAAATAAATTTTATTCTTTTAACTGTGCCAGAATTACAATGCAAAGCTTTCTGATTTTGGGTTGGCCAAGGATGGACCAACAGATGGTAAAAGCCATGTATCAACAAGGGTTATGGGTACATATGGCTATGCAGCTCCTGAGTATATGGCCACAGGTACTCGTAGATTCTTGAAGTTGCTCGAATTCACTTTTACATGCCAAAGTTCAAGTCCTAGAAATGATCTTGGACCCATTCCATCTACTTTCCTGTACCATTCCATTTTCCATTTTTTTGTGGCTTGGCCTACATAGTCTTCTATTACTTTCACCTACACTCCCACTTCTATTTTGTTCCAACCCCATGTCCGATCTATCATTTGTAACAAAAGACCACTCCCCTACGGCATGAACGTTATGTGTCAAAATGTGACATATCTCCAGTTGAGGTTCCCATTCTCTTTCTTGCCCGTGAGCTCTCTCTTTCCCCGTCTTTCTCTTAATTTTTCTAGCCAGCATTAGCATCAATCGGGAATATCCAGTTTGAACTGTATAAACCCCTGGTCCTTGCTGTCTTACAGTATGTTATTTCTTCCACTATGGGTTGAATAAATCTCATTGTCTACCTCTTAATTCTTAGTTATTTTCTGTTCTTATGAAGGTCATCTAACTGCCAAAAGCGACATATACAGTTTTGGTGTGGTTCTTCTTGAAATGCTGTCTGGCCGACGAGTAATTGACAAGAACCGTCCACCTGGGGAAGAAAAGCTTATCGAATGGGCCAAGCGTTACTTGACTAGTAAACGCAAAATTCTTTACGTTATGGATGCCCGTATTGAAGGCCAATATTCATTGGCTGGAGCACTCAAAGCAGCTACCCTTGCAGTCAAATGTCTTTCAATAGAACCCAAATACAGGCCAAACATGGATGAGGTTGTAAAAACATTGGAGCAGCTTCAGGACTCGAAAGACACGGGGAGTACTAAAAGTGAGGTACTCCGGATGAATCAAAGGATACGCGCTGATGAGTCTTCCAACGACAAGGCTGCTTCCTATCCACGGTCATCTGCTTCAACCATTTAACCTTGAAGGAGCATAAGGATTTTGATACGATTACAATTTGTGTGTACTATTTCAAAATAGAGGAAGAGGGTCTTAGGAATTTCAGAAGCTGGAGTTGTATTAAACCATTGTTTTGTCACTTAACTGATAGTGTACAGTCTTGTCATGTACTTTTGTTGATTATATAACATTAAGATTTCCTTTGAGGCATCAATAGACTTGATTGTATATGCAGCATGATCATATGAGAAGAAAGGAGATTTGAATCAAGGGACGTGTTGGTATCACTAACTTCTGTCCGAACCCACCTACTTGCGCTTCATTCCGATTCCTATGCACTCGCACTGGTTCGGAGAGCTATTGGGACTAATACAGGCTCATGTTTGGCCCTATATAGGTTGGTTGTCAAGTGGGTTAGAAAATACGCTGAAACGGAAATCCAACTAGTGCCAATAATCCGAATGGAGCTTCTCACTTGAGATACTTGGTTGTTACTAGGATAAACTGAGGGATGAGGTGTATATGTAATAGCTATAATTAGCACTTACAGTTCAAGATTTGAAGCATATATTGTTCAATATTGATTTTGAAATGTAGAAAAAATTAGGATGAAATAAAAGTTGGACAATTTTTAAATCATAACTTCGCCTGCCAATTATTTGTAATGTTTAAAATTTCAACAATTCTTAAGAGGAGTGAGAAGCTTAGGATGTATTTTATTCATTTATTGATTCGTGTGTAACAAATTGTATTATATCGAGTTTGTGTTATGTATAAATTGTGTATAACTGATTTATAAATAAGTCGTGTCGTATATTTTTTTTAATTGACTTCATGTTTTTCTGATTTGCTTATTGATCATGTTATATCTGGTTTCGTACGTTTATAAAATGAAAGGTTTAAGGAAATTTTGAAATCTTGTGGTGTTGAACGACGTCGTTCTGCTATGTAACTCTTACTACAGTGCAAATATCTGGAGGGCTATTATCGTCTTTTCATCAGCGGCTAAGGTTTTTAAGCCTTTCTCCCCGATAAAGCGCTTGGGTTTCTCTTCGTCTATCTCTCACAGAAAACCAGTGTCGAGCTCCGAACATCCTCATCAATGGCGCTACTTCAGCACGTGAGCTTCGTGCCCCTCGCACGTGCGATGCGGTCTCGTTCTCTAACTCTCGCCTCGAGCACCGTAGCTGTCCCTTCTCTCGAGAAGGCGTCGCAAGTAGATTCTCGCGTGCTCCTCGGCATGTCCGAGAAAGAGCTTCAACAACTCGCACTCGACTTCGGCCAGGTAAACATTTTCAACAGAATTGAACTAATTACCTTCTGTTTGGATGCTGAGAAAATGTAGGAAAGCAAAAGAAAAAAATGAATTTATTTTTGGAATTCAAATTGTGTAGCAAAGTTATAGGGGGAAGCAACTTCATCATCTACTTTACAAGAGAAAGGTGAAAGAAATTCAGGATTTTAGTCATTGTGAGTGCTCTCTCTTCCTTTGTGAGCGTTCGGAATTATGTTTGTTGAACTTATGTTTTAGTAGTTGTGCTTGTAAATTTCCTTGGATAGTGCCACTTGCGTTCAGGAATGATCTTCAGGCAGCCGGTTGGAGGGTAGGGCGGTCAGCGGTTTATAAGGCCGTCACTGCATCGGATGGCACTGTCAAGGTAAACAGAATTCCATGATTTAGTGATTCTAATTGAACTCAAATTTATTGCATGAATATGATGTGAAAAGTTATAACCTAAATGTGAGTTAAGTGATAGAATGGTTGGTATTTATGTTAGGCATCAACGTTATGAAATAGGGAGGAGACTGAAAAATTCATCTGGATGCTATGAAAAAACAATGATGTGAAAGTTTTTTGAATGAAATGATTTACGGATTCACATGCCAATAAAGTTGCGCTTAGGCTTGTTTTGGAGTTTAAGGTTTGTTTATATTGAGGGACTTTGAATTGATTTGAAATTTTGAAATAACCTGCGGTGGTGCCTGCTGAGTGGAAGACCTCATTTTGATTGCTTTATATACCAGTCAATTTTTAGTTCAATAGACTTACATATATTATTCCAAAGGAGAAGCAATAATTATAAATTCCAGGGAGGGGTTCAGTTTTTTTATGCCAAATATGGAAATTATTACTATGTATTTGGTTGACTCCTGTTGAACAACTTTTGGTTTAGATGAGGATGTGATACATATCAAATCAGTGGAGAGAACTCGAGCTGGTGGTGTTGGGAACAAGTAGCAGTGATGATTGTGGTGCCAATAGTTAAACCACACTTTACCTCCTCATGGCGGGCATTTAGGGGACACAATTTCCATTTCTTTCCTTTCCATAATCTTCCAGATGGATATAGTTGCTTGTTTTACTTTGAAAGAATTTTGAAAGCAACGAACTAACTACAAGGAATGACCCGATCCTTAATCCGGGCTTTTTATTAAATGTGGTGGCTTCTTGGTTTTTTTATTTTTTTGTCTTCTGCTTATAAATGATCTTGCAGTTATTGATTAAGCTGGAGGACAACCGCCTAGTTGAAACTGTTGGCATACCAGTCGAAGACGATAAAGGTGCAGTTCGCCTTACAGCTTGCGTCTCATCACAGGTGATCTTCTGATAAAAAAATGAGCAGGCAATATTTCTTTTGCTGGGTTGTTTTCAGGAGATTTAATTTTGAGTTTGACTTACAAACTTTTTCATTGATGTAATTTTTTAGAACATATATTTAAGAACATCCTTTCTTACCATTTTCCTTTTAATTCCAGGTGGGCTGCCCATTGCGCTGCTCATTCTGTGCCACTGGCATGGGAGGGTTCTCAAGGAACCTTAAAAGTTATGAAATTGTTGAGCAGGTTTGCCTTACATTACATCTGCTAAATTCATAAAGTTTGATTTTGCTGGTTGGAGATGTTATGTAGGTTAGAGTTTTCTGAAAAATGAAAATATCGACTTAGTTTGTACGAGATAAGTTACTCCCTTCAGCGTAAATAAAACTGTTGGTAACAGTGAAAATTGACTTTCAGAAAAGTTGAGTAGCATGATACATTGTGCTTTCACATTTTCTATATGCAGGTCTTGGCAATAGAGGAACTTTTCAAGAAGAGGGTTACAAATGTAGTGTTTATGGGAATGGGAGAGCCGATGCTGAACATGAAAGAAGTTCTTGGAGCACACCGGTGCTTGAACAAGGTCTGTCTGCCATTGTGTTAGGCACGTCATCAGTTATTGGATTTTCACATGCAAACAAAATTTTGCATATGCATGCATAATGGACAATATACTCTCTTTTTTTCCCCCTACAACAGTGTTTACTTTGTGTGAACTTTTCTCGGTGACTTGTTTTGCTTTGTTATTAGTAATCTTCTAGTTTGGAGAAACTGCCTCCATCACTCTTTTCTAGCACAAATAGATGCACATCGCCAGCATGAGGAGAAGCACATGCATCACTGTACTATGGATTTTTCTGCTGTTTTCTAGCCAATAGCTTCTGATGCTTGCCTGACAAAAATAGAAGACCGTTTTTCATTATTGTTAATCATGAAACAATTTCCTGTCCACCAATGATTGACAGGGAAAGGAAATTTTACATGGGTATGGAGAATAGTTCTCTATAACTAAGCCGTGTCCTTCATCCATAATAAACACATTCTTAGCGTGAAAACAACATATTTATAATGGTCACCCAGGCTGGGAAACTTTGAATGGAAATTTATTAGGCTAGGTTAAAGTTGTCCAGAGCAATCCCAAATCATTCATTTTGGAATGATGTTTAAAATAATGCTATCTCTATACAGGTTACCTCCTATTTAGTGATGGGATGGAGTGAGAATTCTTGCTGTTTGGATTTTTAATCTCAGTTCATAAATATAGTGATTTTTCTTTGTCTGAAGGATGTACAAATTGGGCAAAGGATGATGACAATATCCACCGTTGGAGTTCCAAATACAATTAAAAAGCTGGCTTCTCACAAGCTCCAGTCCACGTTGGCTCTCAGGTTTGTTGTTATCAGTAAGCGGTCTTTATTATGTTTGTTTTACTTGAGTTAACTACATGTTTGATGGATGTTTTGAATAATCATGGATTGATTTCGAGTTCAACAGGACATTCTACTGTCAGATATCGATGTGTGTGTATAATCATGGTCCTTTTGTTTGGAAATACTAGATGTCTGTTGAAAAGAAACCTCATAAGTCATAGCACAGGCTTGAATTTTACTTGGGTCGTGTGTTGTTTTGGTATGTGGTACATGGCTTTCTTAGATATGCGGTACGATGTGGGTAGATTTAGCAATTAGCAGGTACAGTGTTTTGGGTCGCAATTCATTTTTGGAATTCTTATCTAAATCGTTTTCATTACTATACATTATTATATATCATAGAAGATTCATAAATACTAAAGTCAGTTACCATTTATCTTACATTTATGCTCGATTTTCTATTATCTAAAATTATATGTAAGTATAAATTTATACAAGTAATCAATTAATATGTATTTTATATTTGTGCTACATGTTTTAAAGCGAATTAATTTTGACGTAGTATTATAATTTTGGTGATGTAGATCGCGAACCCACTCCGTTTTAGATCAAAGTACCCATGATCTGTTAAACAACGTCGTGTCCCCCCCCCCCCCCCCCTTCCCTTTTCTTCCCAAAAAAAAAAAAACCAAAAACAAACAAAAAAAAAAATTAAAAAGGAGAGAAAAAGTGGAAAACAATCTGTTCAGAGATGTTGGGACCTATGAGTTTTCAAGCCTGAGAACTTATTTCTGATTTGTTGGGTGTCCACTGTCCAGTATCATCCTTCCTTATTGGACTGCTCTTCTCGTAGTCCACAATTTCATGGGTGTCCTTTTAGTTTTCCAATTTTTGCATCTCAAACTTTTGGAAGCCGGGCATTTTCATTAAATTATTTGCTTGTGAATACACAGGAGTCTTTTACATGCTCCAAACCAGAAAACACTCACAAGCAGGGCAAATTATTTCAGTGCTTTCTTGATAAATTCAATCTTCATCGGTTCATGACTAACACTTTTCTTTTGCTTTACTCTCAAGCTTGCATGCTCCAAACCAAAAAGTTAGGGAACAAATTGTGCCTAGTGCAAAGTCCTATCCTTTGGATGCAATCATGAAGGATTGCAGGGACTACTTCCTTGAAACCAGTCGAAGGGTATCCTTTGAGTACACACTTTTAGGTATTGGAATTGCACCTGCCTTATTTTTCATGTTCCTTTCCTGAACACATGGATTGACAACATGAAATACGTTGCAACTTCTTTTGGCAGCTGGAGTCAATGATGCAGTGGAACATGCAATAGAACTTGCAGATCTCATCCAGGAATGGGGACCTGGTTATCACGTGAACCTGATACCTTTCAATCCAATAGAAGGCTCTGAGTATCGGCGTCCGTATAAAAAAGCAGTACGCCTTTCATTTCCTTTTTCTATTTGGTGCATTTATGGACATTTATAATCGTTCATGATCCTCTCTCTTCCCCCTCCCCCAATCAAATTTACCTCATTCTCGATGGTTAAATATTTTCCTTAGTCTCATCACTTGATTCAAACGTTAGAATTTCTAGATTTTGTTTAATTGTATATGGCAGGTGCTTGCATTTTCTGCTGCTCTAGAGTCCCGAAAAATAACTGTCAGTGTACGTCAAACACGGGGCCTAGATGCCAGTGCTGCTTGTGGACAGCTAAGAAACGAATTCCAGAAGAGCCCTTTGCTTCCAGACTCTGATGACGTGCAATCTCAATTGGGCATCGCAGTTGCTTGTTGATACCACAGAGTTTCTCAAGAGTCTGATAGTTTGCTAAGCTTGCTGTATACCATATACTTCATCTTCCAACCACTTACGAAAAGCTCAATGAAAGTGGTCACTGAGGGGAGATCCAGTTGGCATTGCGAGCTCTGCTACTTGAGGAAAGATGATAGTAACCTTAGTGGAATGCCCCACATAAGTCGTGTATCTGTTGTACAGGAGGCTTCGATTTTGGCCAAGAAAAGAGTGGACAACGCAATATGCTGAATCACTATTGATGTTGGAACTCCCCGTGGAATCGAAAAGTTGTGAAGGGGTTTACTTGGGCAATAATTTCCATTTTTGTTTTCTTGGCAAAACTGCTTGATGGTGGTTGATTTAGTCATCTTGGAAGCAGAACTTTGGTGAAATTAGAAGGGAAAAAGTTTCACGGCATATTACTAGTGAAATTGTAGATGGTGCTCGTACGGTACATACGTGATTGATGAACTCTCTAACTCTTTCTTGCATGATAGAGAGTTATGTGGGGGTTCTACTTACCTATTTGTTAGCGTATTATTGAATTATAATACTGTGTAATAATGTTGGCGTGGTATTGTTGCATTAATATTTTCTTCGGTCTGACCCCCAAAATGGAAAAAAATAATTTTTTTTGTTGATAACCTCAAATCGTTCTATTTGTTCAATATTATTAACAATGTATATTAACAAAATTAAAAATATTCAACTTTTTAAATAACAAAATTAAAAATATTCAAGTTTTAAATATTGGGTTTATGTTGATAATTTATTGGGCTAATTTCATTTTATATCTTGAAACATATTTTGATTCTCAATTGTACCATCAAATATTAAATTTTTTAATTTATACTCTCAATGTTATGAATTTGTACTAATGTGGCCCTTGGCCAAACTATCTTCAATTTTTTGACATTTACTTGAAGCACATGAGTTGTAATTCTTCAGGTATAGGCTTATATATAATTCACATATTATTGACGTCTTATATGAGTTGCACATGATAGTATTAGCCCTTTGAGTAATGAAACCCCTATTTTTGATATAACAAACAGTGACAAATTAATCAGAGACGAAGATCTGCAATGATGAAGATAGTTTATTCTCATGTCTAAAAACACTTACACACTAGATGTTTCAATTTAAGACGAAATTTGATTGATAGTCTGGGTTAGGTTCACATTATTACTAATTTATAATATTGAGGGTACAAATTAAACATTTTTATATTTTGAGGGTAGGGGTGTGTTAATTGAGACAAGATACTTGAGCTCAATTTAGATAGAAAGTCGGTTCGAGCTTGACTCGTATTCTAAACAAACTAAGCTAAAAGGCTCGACTTAAGTTTACAAAACGTTTATATGTAAAATAATCAAATTACTCGGGCTTAGGCTCAACTCGAGTTTTAAAAAAACCAAACTTAAACAATTTTAAGCTTGTTTAAAAAAATAAATTCGCCATTGAGACAACATAGTAACAAAAATGAGTAGCGAAAATGAAAAATATTAAGTTAGATGTGTGAAAAAACTAAAAAAAAATAGAATCTAAAATGATTGTATTAGAGAAATGGTAAGAGTAGTTTCAATTGAAGAAAAGTTGAGAGAGAATACATTAAGAAGATTCGATCATATTCAATAGATGCCAATAGAGGCTCCGGTTAAAAAAATTGATAAAATTTATTTTAATGGTACTTGGGATAAGGATAGACTTAAATTAATATTGAATGAAATAATAAAAAAAGATACGAAAAATACTTAATTTAAATAATACCAAAATGAATGATAAAGATGGACTCATATAGCCAATTCCAAATGATTGTGACACAAGAGTCAATTTGGTTTGATTTAGGGTGCACATTGAGAATTGCAGTATCTTTTGAGGTGCAAAACGAGATTAGCCATACTTTATTTACCGTCCGAGTCAGCGTCTGAACCAAACCTACCCGGTCCAATTTGAATTGATGTCCCTAGGGCTTACGTAAGCAAATGTTCTAAAACCCGTTTATAAATACACATCAAACGCGAGTTCTGCACTCAGACCCGACTCTCTCTCTTCGATTTTTTCTCTATATTCTCTCTAGTTGCCGTCTGAGGGCTCTCATTCCACAGGTAAATCTGACACTCTTTTGCTTAGTTAGGGCTTGTGATTTTCGTTTTCTTGATCGTGATTCGTTCTTCATCTATCGTCTCGACTGTTTTCTGGTAAACCAAAAAGATTATTAGGGCTTCCCTGTATGCGTGACGAAGTTTTGTCGCAATCCCTCGATACCATGATATTTTTTTTTATTTAAGGGAAAACTCAATTTTTATGCTTGTACAGCGTGTGAAATTATTCGGATAGAATTGTCAATCGTGTTAGTTTTGGAGCTTTTGGTTGAGATACCTGAGAATATGATTTCAACATATATGCTTTTATGAGGATTCCGTTGTGTAAAAAGAAAATATCAGGAAGTAATAAGTTTGAACCCTGTACATTCGAAATATCATTAGGAAGAATTTAGATAGTATGTTTAACATTGTTTTCAATGCCTGTTTAATAAATCTTTCATGATTTTTGGCTGTAAGGCATTCAACGACGAGTGAAATCCATTTAAAAACTGATAAAGTCAACATTTCAAGTGTAAAGATGTTGATTTCCGTCCAAAAGAGCATTGACATTGCCTAGTTTTTGTACCAAATAAGTTACTAATTCTTTTCCCTGTCCCCAACATTTTATGCAACATGGATATGTATTGCATATCCAAGTTGGAAGGGCATAGTGTTTTTCTGAAATATGGGCTTTGGTTAAAACGAACAGGGCCTCAAGTATTTTGGTATTTTAGGTGGGCCATGGTCAGCTTTGGCCCAAGGGTGGCTTTGCTTGGTTTTAGACATCCACATTGTCAAGTAATTTATCTGCGGCTTGCTTACAATGTTGGCATATGTCAGAGAAATTTTAGGCGTATTTATTCTCAAATTTCAGTTTACTTCCTGCAACTCGGTCAGTCTTTCAGATATTGTGTATGGTGGTCGAGAGACTACATGAACTTATTCAGACTAAAACATGATTTGGCTATGATTTATTTTTCCAATCCATCACCATAGCGGATTTGTGATAGTGATCATATGCTTGTACTAGTGTGTTCTTGAATTTAAGAAGAATAGTTCCTATGCGTGTTTGCTAAATGTGTCCAGACACCTATTCATTGCAAAAATTGTTTCAATTTCAGAGATTCTTACAAAGATTTTGGCTACTGAATATTGCTCATTGTAACTGCATTTTAGTCGCTTATTTAGTGCTTTGATAACCGTTAACATTGTCTAATTATCCTATTGGATTTATACCAAAGATGCAGTTGCATTTATTTATCACTATTTTGATAATACATCATGTTTATTGTCCTACGGTGCTACTATCCTTGTTCTTTTCAATTCTCTTTAATGTAGTATATTGGAAAGAGTAATTGGATTTATGAGTATTGGTTCTGTTGTCAAGGCTGAAAGATGCGAAGGTACAGTCCACCATACTACAGTCCTCCAAGGAGAGGTTATGGAGGTCGACCAAGAAGCCCTCCAAGAAGAGGATATGGTGGTGATCGTGGGAGACATAAGGAGCAGAATAATGGCAGCCTTTTGGTTCGAAACATCCCGATAAGTTGCAGGTAAGTTTCCATGCAATTGTTACAAGTTATGGCCAGATTGCTTGAATGAAGCTATAGCTTGGATTTAATTTTTGACAGTCCTCAATTTAAGAGAGCCTTTCCTTTGTTTTTGATTATTTTTCCCTGTTGCACTTGGGTGCTTGGTGCTTGCAGGCCAGAGGACCTTCGAACTCCATTTGAAAGATTTGGACTAGTTAGGGATGTATATCTTCCAAAGGACTATTACTCAGGGTGAGTGTTGCACCACTACATTGTCTTTGTATATTCCATTGTGCTTCAGCTCTATTTAACTGTTTGTGATCATCCATGTTGATCATTTTATCCAGTAATAGTGTATTACCATTACTTTCTTAGTTGTACTTGTAGCAAGGTTGCTGTAGGGTAGCAAGCTGAGCCTAATCAGGCTAGTATTTGCTACTTGAGCCCTGTTCAAAGCTCTGGTAGCTTTCTCAAATTTTCATTGTTTGAATTTGGCCATTCTTAAGCTTGTTCAAAATTCCGAGTGATGCTTCAACCTTTGGCAATTCCGCATATCAATAACTGGAAGTGTCAGAAGCTTTGTTTATATTCCTTGCCATACTGATTGTTATTTTTTTTTTTCTGATATGTTTACTTTTGGTTTACTTCTCAAGGACTTGTAATGTTGTGGTAAAACAGATGATTTACTCAACTGTTAACGAATCTGACAAAGGCAGCCTTAGCTTTTAATTTTTTGTTTTCTGATCTCTTTGGATGAGGATCTCAATAAGCTTCGCTGAGCTGTACATGAGCAGATTGTTCCTTTTGAAGAATATAAATGTGTCTATAGCTTGTCATAAGTAGCTCAAATGTGGCAGTTAACATCAACAAGGAAGTTCTTGCACTCTGCAAGTTCTTGCAGCATTCCAATTATTAAGTGCCATTGGGGAATGACTACAGTTCGTATTCTGCTTGATATGAGAATTCAATTACACTGCATACTTTTTTGAAAATTGGCACCCTGTCAAAATGATTAAACTTGCTAGATCAAGTATATTTTTTGTTGTGTTGGTATCCACTGTTGCATTAAGTAAACAAAAGGTATCATAAATCTGTTGAGTTACATTTCGAACTATTTATTAAGGTTTACATCCTTCTTTTTCGTAGTGAGTTACGCTTTGAACTGGTTTGTCAGGGGGTCTGTTTGTTTGAAGTTAAAACAAGCCCAAGCCTCACATTTGATGAAGGCCTACTGTTTATGATTGCATTACATTTTGTCCTCCAAGGGTGTTAAGAGTAATGGTCCAAATGAAGAATGTTCCTTTTTGAAGAGAAATTATATAATTACACAACCAATAGAAGTTTGATGAGGAAGAAGATTTTGATCAATTGAAGACCACATGTGGAGATTTTAAATTTGGGGCAAGGTTGATGTCAGGTGCTCCTTATGTTTACAAGAATGTGAAGAATTATCAAGTCACTTGCATCTATTGAAGTTGCCTTTCATAGTTGATTGTAGAAGAAAAGGTCAGCCATTTGGATTTTAACTGCTTTTGTGTACTTGTGTGTCTACTACTGTATGGAATTGCTCCGAAGCTGATTTTAGTTATGTAAAGGAAGGTACATTAATCAATGGCATTGTTGCAGTAACTAATTATGCTTTCCCTGGTTAGTATATTTTTGCAATCAGCGAGTGCTCGCTTGCAAACTTGGGTTCTTTCGTTAAAGCTTTGGTGCATTTCTGATGCAGGGAACCTCGTGGGTTTGCATTTGTGCAGTTTGTGGATCCTTATGAAGCAGCTCAGGCTCAATATCATATGAATGGGCAGATGTTTTCTGGGAGGGAGATATCTGTGGTGGTTGCTGCAGAGACAAGGAAAAGGCCAGAGGAGATGCGCCGTAGAACTCGACCCAGGTAAGATACTTTATTTTCCTTTGACAATGCCATTTTCCTTTGACAATGCCTAGGTGGTTAGTTGTTATATTACATTATTATTCTCACATTCCTGTTATTTGTTGTACATTCAGCCGAGGAGCCTCAGGCTCTGGAGGGCGACGATATGGTAAGAAATTCAAATATTGATGAGTACTTATTTCCAGAATAGTTCACTTTTCACATTGCACATTCCTTTTGAAATGAAACAACGGCCTTCTGATGGCTTTGTTATGTGTTTGTTTATGAGTTAAAGTAAGGATAGGCCCATTTGTTTTGTTTCCTATTTTCACTTAGAAAGGTTGATTAAAGCTATCTCCTGCTTTAAGTCAACGGATGGAAGCACCTTTGCTGTGCTGGGCTTCACCAATAACTCGTATTACTGCAAATGTGGTTGCCTGATATTGTGTAATTCCAATACAAGCTTGATTCAGTGTGTTCTAAGACCTTGTTATTTTTTCAATTTGTATTTAGGTGATGCCTCCTTAAACCTCTTATTTTCTAAATCCAAATGTTAATAAATTAAACTAGATTTGTATGTCAAGGGGGAAAAAACAGTTGATATACATGCCTTGGCTGTGTTTTTCATGTGGTCTTTCTTGAAGCTATAAATGTGTATTGACATAGTTTCTACTTCTTTTTGGATTGGAACATGTGACTGATACCATTATAATGAAGTGATGAATCTTGTTTTTGGTTGTCATGTTGTGCCCAACTAGGGGTGTCAAACGTGTCGGGTTAAACGGGTGATGGGTGAAAAATGTATAAACCTGTACACGACACATTTAATAAACGGGTGAAAAATCTCAACACGAACACGACCTGTTTAATAAACGAGTAACATGACACGACTCGTTTAACCCGTTTAATTTTAAAAAATTATTTTAATAAATTTTAATACTCACTTTTTTTATTGTCAATTGCACTTACCTTAAAAAAGAGGAATTTTTAGCCAAATTTCATATCTCATAAAAATAAGATTTGAAGGTTTAAAAAGAAAAACAAGAGGTCATTGCTTTTTATAGGCAACTCAACCCTCTCCATCTCCCCTCATTTTCTAATGTGGGACAAAAACAAAAAGTATTGGTTTGCCTTTGTTTTTGAAGTGTTCCACATCTCTTCTCTTTTGTCTTTGAACTACTACTTTATTTATTTTTTCTTATTGATTTCTTTACTTCTTTTTTTCTTGTTAATTTTTTAAAATAATTGTTAATTTATTATTATATTAATAATATTTAAACGGGTAAACGTGTGATAAACGGTTTGACATGTCTCACCCAAACACGACCCGTTTATTAAACGTGTTTGGCGTGTCAACCCGTTTATCACCCAAACCCGTTAAGATCTCACCCAAACCCGTTTAATTCGTGTCGATTCGTGTTGGTTAATCGTGTCGTATCAAATTTTGACAGTCCTATGCCCAACTGGCCATTTGCTGTTGTTTCACGGGTTCAGGTGTTCTTTCATTATTTTTAAACTTTATTCCTTTGTTTGTAAATTCACTATATCAGCCCACGAAGATCTTACATCTTAAGGCTAATTAAAGTTCTTTCATTAATGTTCGAGTCATTAACCATAAGGCTTATTTTTTTGTTAGATTGTTGTATGGCTAGTAAAGCTAAGGCTGCTGTTCTTATATATAATTCTGTATAGATAGATTTGTGTGTATCTTCTGCTTCACTATCACTATCCTGCAGGACGTTCTCGTTCTCGTTCCCGTTCACGGTCCCCCCGCTATCCTTCAGGTTCTCGAAGTCGTCATCGATCAAGGTAAGAAAGATCTCAAGGTTACAAAATGCCATCATCTCTGTTCATTTGTTGAATCAGGAAACTTGATTCAATTTTTTATGTTATTAGGTCCTACTCTCCTGCACCAAGACGGGGAAGTGCATACTCCATTTCCCCTGAAAGAAGGCACTCAGATCGCCCTAGATCAACAAGAAATCATCCAGAAGAACGAGAAGTGGATAATGTTCGCAGGTCATACTCTCCAGGTTATGACAATGCTGCTGATCAAATTGGCAATGGGTATGGCAAGTAGAAACATTTACTCCTAGTTATATAGCATTTTTTTATACTCCTATTCGTGTGGATTTAATTGTGATTGCATGAAAGATGGATACATGTTTGATGGGATTTCTGAAGTCCTAACATGAACCATATCTTGATAGTGGTAGAAGACAAAGCCCCTGGTTCTGAATGTTGGTAGAATATTTTTCTTTGATAGGAAGTGGAACACATATATCGTTAACATAGAAGAGAAAATTAGAAGAAATCAAAAAGGTTGGATAATAAATCCAACCTAAGAAATAAAAAGGGTTAGATACAATTTACTCCCTTCAACTATGTCCCTTGTTATACTCAGCTTCCTACGGTGTCAAATGTTGCTATTTGTTGCCTCCAAGTTTCAAGTGGACTAAATTGACTAATAGTAATGACCATGAAAACACCCTCTATCTTGTATATTATTTCTTGGATATTTTTTTTCATGAGATACCAATTCTATCCCTAAAACCAATTAGGAAACTCGTGTCAATTTTATCCCTAAAAAATAATTAGGAAACAAAAAAGTCAAGACCATAGTTGTCAAATCGGGTATCGGAAGGTGTATCGTTTTTTAAAAATAATGTATCGTATCGTGTATTGTGTATCGTAAGATACGGTGTAACTTTAAATAATTAATAATAAAATATATATTTACAAACTTTAGGGTGTCTAGATGTAATTTATTAATGGATATATTTACAGCAGAGGTCTAAGTGATACGTGTATATAAATTTTAGAGGGTTTGTGTATAATATTTTAAATGTTAGGGGGTCTAAATGATTAAATAATAAACCTCAAGGGGTCTAAGTGTAATTTTTTATATTTTAAAGCATAGTAGAGATCATAGTTATCAAATCGTGTATCGGAAGGCGTATCGTAAGATACAAATATTGTATCGTATCGTGTATCGTAAGATACGATGCAATTTTAAATAAATAATAAAAAAATATATATACCTTTGAAAAAAAGTCATACACTCATAAAAAATATAGCATTTCATTAATACTCCACCAACTATTCAAGTTATCAACATAATCCACTACTATTATAATGCAAAGTTCATAACCATAGTTCACTAATTCAAACTTTAAACACCAAAGAGACTTCTAATCCAAATTTCTAACATCCATTTTGATCTCAATCTTCAATTTCAATTGAAAATGCATCATCATCATCATCATTGTGATCGGATGCCAACAAGTCTTCACTTCCTTTATCATCTTCAACTTCTTGTATTTGTTCATCCTCATCCTCATCCTCATCCTCATCTTCAAGTTGAACTATTTGCTTTCCTTTTTTTTGTATAAAGTAAGATTTCTAGGCCCTACAAAGCAACCAATACAAAATATAAAAAAAATAAAATTCAAAGTAATGGAGAAGAAGAAAAAACAACCACTACATTTTAATTACCTCTCTTTCTCTTTTTGCTAGTCCCTTCTTGAACCTCAAAACATTCACCAACATTCATCCAAGTAGTGTCCTCAGGAAGGAGTGCATCTTCTTTTTCAGTGATCCACTCATCATCAGATTCCATATCTGAGAGAGAAATAGGATCATAGGAATCACCCTCTAGTATTCTCTTTTGGTGTCTTGCCTCCAATCGAAGATTATACTTCACAAACACAAGTGCACTTAATCTTTGTTGCTCTAATCGATTTCTCCTCTTAGAGTGCACCTGGTTAAATGTACTCCAATTCCTCTCACATCCAGTGGCACTACAAGTCAAGCTAAGGACGCGGATAGCAAGTTGTTGCAACTCTGGACAACATCCTCCAAATGATTCCCACCACAAGGCTATAAAAAATTACAATAGAATACTCCATTAACTAACTTAAGCAGTTGCATTCAAATAACTAACTTAAGTTAAGTTACCACTAACCAGGTTGTTTCTTCTTCCTCATTTGGATTGCCATGTCCATTCCAAACATCAAATCAGCATTATGAAAGATATCTAATTGTTTATCAACTTTTTCTCTCATAATAGGACTTGGGCACATTCTCTGAATAGTCTGATATAGTCCCATCTTTATCTCATAGTCCGCACTACCGGTGTAATGAAACCTGAAATAATTATTTTGATTTACAATGATCATTGATCAGCATACAATATATAGATATAAAATGATATAAAAATTGAGAAAATTAAGTCTTACGCGGGATTGAGATAATGGGCAGCTGCATGAAGAGGTCTGTGTAATTGCATGTTCCATCTAGTGTCAACAATAGTCCATATGGGCTCATAGTGCTTCTTCACATTACGAAAATTCTTTTGGATTTGTTCTTTTGCCTTGTCCATTGCCTCATAAATATACCCCATGACAGGCTTTAGATCCCCATCTACAAGCCTCAACACCTTCACCAATGGCAACACACACTTCAAGCAATACTTGATTGATCCCCAAAAATTTTGGTCAGCTAGTATAATATCCATCACTTTTACACCATCTCCCTTCTTACAATATTGACTTCTCTGCCATTCCTCAGAAGCAAACATTGCTCTAAGCCCAATTTTATTTTCAAATAAACTCCTTAAAGTTAAATATGAGGTGGCAAATTTGGTCACACAAGCTCTCACCAAATCCCTTTTCTTTGTATACTTTCTCATAAGATTTAACACCCAAGAATGTCTATAAATGTAAACTGTGATTTTCCTTGCCTTTGACATTATATCCTTGTGCAGAGGAAGGTCCCCAATATCCGTCAAAATGAGATCTAGACAATGTGCACCGCAAGGAGACCAAAACAACTTTTTCCTCTTTGCCATTAACAATTCCCCAGCTTTTACATAAGCCGATGCACTATAAGTTACAACCTGAACAACATTATCCTCACCAATCTCTTCTACCATTGAATCTAAAAGCTCAAAAAGATTATCCGCATTCTTACAAATACCTGAAGTATCAATACTTTTAAGAAACACACTTCCTCTAGGACTATTCACTAAAAAATTAGTGATAGAGCGATGTTTCCCATCAGTCCATCCATCAGACATAAGAGTACAACCCGTCCTTCTCCACTCTGCTTTATAATTTTTCATCAACCCACCATTAATCAAATTTGTTTCTTTTTTCAAAAAAGAACATCTCACTTCATGATACGATGGAGGTTTCAATCCCTTACCAAACGATGCAACAGATTCTAACATTCTTACAAAATATGGATCCTTTACCAAATTAAAAGGAAGGGCATTAGCATAAAAACATCTACAAATATCCAAGCATACATCTTCCCTACCCTTTTTCTTCAACATAGTATTCAAAGTAATTGTGGTGGTTGGCTGTATTTTATCAGCAGTAGTACTACCCACACTGCCACTACTTTTCGAATCCACAAGACTCATATCTTTGCTAATTGCCCTATCATCCAATAATTGCTTAAAAAATTCAGTTACTTCCTCAGGGCAATGCTTACACGCTGCTACATCTTTGCGATTACTTGCCAAATGATTTTTCATTCTTGAAATGCCTCCCTAATAGACATTTGCACAATGAATGCATTTCAATTTCAACCTTGATCCTTCTACTTTGTCACAATGTTCCCATGTGGGATCATTAGCAAGTTTTTTAGTCATTTCTATATGAAAATTGGATGCAGGTGATGCCACTGTTGCACAAAATTAAAATTAATCAAGATTCAGAAATTTTTATACAAAAAAATTTATATACATTTGGCTTTGTAAATAAATTAATATCATTACATACTGCACAGGACCAACGATCAATGGAGACTGGGAAGAAGAAGAAGAAGAAGAAGAAAAGAAAGGAGTACCTGGAGAAGGAAGAAGGCAGCGATCAACACCCACAGTCGGAGACAAGCAATCACCCACAGACGAAGACCAGCAATCACCCACAGTTGGAGACCACCCACAATCGATCCCCACCCAGAGTCGAAGACCACCCACAGTCGAAGACCACCCACACAGTCGAAGACCACCCACAGCGATCACCACCTACAACGTTCACCACCCACAGTCGATCATCACCCACAGTCGATCACTACCCACAACGATCACCACCCATAGCGATCGCCACCCACGGTCGATCACCACCCACAGTCGATCACTACCCACAGCGATCACCACCCATAGCGATCGCCACCCACAGTCGATCACCACCCACAGTCGATCACCACCCACAATCGATCACCACCCACAGCGATCACCACCCATAGCGATCACCACCCATAGCGATCGCCACTCGTCGTCGATGGCTGAAGAGAAACCAGAGACAGAGACAGTCTGACTAGCGAAGGGCAAATATGTGAGAAATGAGGGATTTTTTTTTTGTAACCCTAACCACTGAAACGACGTCGTTTCAGTGGTTATAGGGATTAAAAAAAAAAAATCAGAGCACAAAACGACGTCGTTTATAAAAAAAAAAAAAAAAATTGCACGTATCGTGCGTTTCGTACCGATACGTATCGTATCGTAAAAACGTATCGTGTATCGGACGATACAACGCAAAAACGATACATAACTACGATCCGTATCGTTTTAGGGCTGTATCGTAACGTATCGTACGATACGTATCGCGTATCGTACGATACTAACAACTATGGTAGAGATTGTTTGATTAGGAAAAAAAAGACGAGAGAGAGCGATTGAGGGGCAGAGAGAGAAAAATAGCAATCGAGAGGCAGCGATCGATTCATATATTCTAACACATATGCAACACACACACGCAAAAACACAAGAACAAAGTGATCTAACTGGGGTGACAATAGCGGCGATTGACATTCCATGAGGAAGCACGAGAGCCTCGACATCATTCTCCGATCAGGACTCTAGGGTTTTGGCAACTATTCAAAACAAGACGAAGTTGATGATGGGGACACTTGTGCTGGGCCAGAGATGTCTGTAATAGGTTTCTTCTTTTTATCAATGAGGGTAGTGGTGGGCTTTGATTTGGGAGGAATTTTGGCCATTCCATTGGAATCGTTGGTGGCTGCGACTGATTTACCAAAAAACAAACAAAAATAGAGAATTCGCGTATCGTT